TCAGGACCCATTACATTCACTAACTGCCAACCACAAAAGAAGAACATCTAGAAACTTTCTGGTGCAGTAGATGAGTACCAACTTTGGCATTCGGATTAAACCCCAGAGAGTCTGACGATCTTTTTTGAGGGATGATCACTTGTTTTACACTAACTTTTATTGTTTTATTATAATCAATTATAACAGTCCTTCTGAGGCTTTCTCGCGCTTGTAATCTATGTAAGACCGAAGCCAGTAAGCATAACTTGCATGAGTTTATGCCCAATCAGAAGCTAAACTCCAACAGAAACGTTTTCTCCAGGCGGGCGCCAGTATCGTCTCTATTCGTCCCTATCGCGAGCCAAAGTAGTCCGCTGGATTGTTTTTGCTCAACAGACATGGGGCGCAGCATTCCTTTCATACGGTGCAGTTCGCGAAGAAGCCTGACTATCGTGTTGGCGGCCGTCCTGCTGTTCGTTTGATGTCCCGAGGGATTCAGTCAGTAACGTCATCACAATATCGCATAACGTGTAAAAAATGAGTTCAATTTCCTACAGGCGCATATAAGTGATTTTAAGTTTCCTATATTAGTGATTTTAAGTTGCTGTTCATCTCCAATCCTCAAGAGGCTGTCCGTCATTTCCCTTATCTGTGTGTCACACATTTTAATCCTCCTGAAACGAGTATTGGCAATTCACAGTGTTTCTGTGTATATAACAGGCGCTTTGTTGGCATTAGAAATATCAGTTTCACTATGAAGTCATTCATTTCCAAATATCATAATTTCTCCCTTCACGTTTCTTGTAGTGTAGTGAAATCCCGGTCGGAATGGTGCTGTAGAGCCGCAGAACGTCCTTACATATCGAGTAGGATCCCCTGGTTGACCAATTCTCCATTCCGCTTCTGCCATAAAAATAAATGGCCTTTCTCGAATAGAACGTTACACAAAACGGCGTCCTGTTCTCTCCCGATATTACAGTGAGTCTTGTGACAGTGTGGAAGTGATCGGGAAGAATCCCTGTCTACTCGCATGACCGTTCTCCATTTGATATTCTGCCAATCCTGTTGAGGGATACTCAATTGAGTAGTTTTTAGATTACATACAGCAGCCAAATCGAATTATGGTTACCCCGTCTGGACTTCCCATCTAATACACCAACACGGTCTTGCTAGTTGGCAGAACTGCGTGAAGAGCTGCTAGCGTTCTGACAACAGCTACTGAAAAGCTCTTCGGGCGTTGTGATTTGATTTTATCAAGATCGGGCACCATAATATTCTTCACCGACAAGATGGCATGTCGAATTTCAGAAGGGGGAAAGTGAAGGAACGCCAATCTGTCCTGCCCAATAAGGTCAGATGGCAGGTGGATGTGGCTGTGGGCGAGATCCGAGTGGGAGTCGTACATGATCTTCTCCACTGCTCTTTTAGTTGCAGTAACTGTTCTGTCAGGACGACAAATGAAATTCATCTTGGCCTTGTATATAGCGAAGCTCCGGCGGGCTCCAGTCAGAACTGCTGCCTTCCCCCTTCGGGATCTTCCATTACCGCTTCTCGGCATGGTTCCGTAAAAATTAAATGATGGTTGCTTTCATAAGATCCACGCTGACGCATCAGCTCGAGAGCCTTCGAAGAGAGATGTCTCATCAAACTTTATGTACTCTGTGCTATCTTAGTTAACTTGGCAACTCTCCACGCGCTGAAAAACAGGATCTAGCTTATACAAACTATGCCCTATTCCGACTAGATATTCGAAACAACACGTCTCTAAGACGAAATTTCGACTGAAGATGATGTGATCCATTCCATTATGAAATTGCATACCCGGTGGCTCCCAAAGCCAAGTTGATGAAAGATTCCCGGAACTGCGAACCACTGTAGATGGTGTCGGTCGATATGATGAACTCTGAATGTTTTTCACCCTGCTCATTCCAATCCGTTCCTTGATCTCAAAATGTAGTTCTTCAGCCACTTCCCTCTTGGGATCATCTCGCAACCACTGATGACTCAAGAGAGTCCGACTTTCTCTAAAGACTCTCTAAAGATCCAGCCTCATTGGTGCTGAAACAACGGCTATTGTTATAGCTGGGGTCGAACCACATCTTCTCGATAGCAATCGCCCGATTCGGTTGTCATGCTTTAGGAATCGATGTTCATGTCCATGTGCGTATTGACCTGGACACTTACATCGTAGACGCCTCCGCTGGCATTTTCAAGGAACAGCCCCTCTCCAGTCTCAGAAACGGCGTGCAGCTAGCGATGCCTTCTCGCTTTTTTTCAGCCCGATGACTTCAGACTATCCCTTCTTAGCTTGCATTATCAAATCTCCTACATACGTTTTCGCTTTCCGATTTAAGTGCAATGATTGTACATATCGATAACCATTTCAGTTTTTTTCCCGTCCGCACAGCTTCATATAACTCTAGAAATTCAGTAGCCTCCGGCAAGAGGTCCTAAACGAGCCTGCTCTATTGGAGGCTCTCCCACACTCAGAGGAATGGGGTCCGTTTATATGCCCGTTGTTTTTGACGCGACGGATACCACGAGTAGCTTGGCAGGCTCTGACGTGGTGCCGGGTAGCTAGCCAGGCTATCTCAGAGTGAACAAGGAGCCTGGTTGCTGGAGACAAACTCGAATCTTTTCTTGGATTTGTTTCTGACCACTTGAATGTGAGCTTTTGGTTGAACCGATGTGTACGATATCAACCGCACACGCAGACCATCCACACACGTATGTATCGGTGCACCCGCGAGTAGACAAAGTGGTGTAAATCGGCACAACACGGTAGAGACAGAGACTTCCTCTCCTGAATCCAGCTATGTGTCTGGGCAAGTACCGGTGACTTTGCCAAGGTGACTCCCCTATCTGCCCCATAGGATCGCGCCAGCCTAATCACCAAATGGCTGTATATCCTTCGGTAAGAGAATCCTCAGTGAATGATACCCGTGGGCCTTCGATATTATGAGGAACTCGCTAGATCTAGTGGGCTTCTCGAAAGAGCTCCCAGCTCTTGGTTGACTTAGAAAGCATAGCCAGCCGGCGTGACAACGGATAAACCTACAAATCTTGTAAGGCAATGGCAAATAACTACGATAACAATGGTCTGTGATTGACATAGAGCCGTCCATTTTTGTCTCCATTGAGCGCTCGGTATTTGGGATCAACTGGAATAATGCTTCTGAGGTTGAATGGTCTTTTAGCAGTATGACCTCCCACTCAATCTGTCATTTCAATGGTAGATTCGGATCCGAAAATAAATATTTGAGAACATTTCGTTACAGTTTAACAGTTTGAAATTCAAGTTAGTGCTTTTGTCTTCCCACAAAAGGCCGACACCAAATGATCGGCCCTTGAGGGATGGAACTCGTCTGATATCAGTCCCGAACTCGTTTTTTGAATTCTTTTCCGCGATACTCACTCCATTTACACAAGAGTGCATGAAAAGGCTTTGCTTATGTGGGGATTTCCTTAACTTCTAAGAACTGTTGAATCCCTTTTCATTTCAGGTTTTTCATACCACGAGGAAATACTTTGAAGCCAAAGCTGAGGGAGCTGCATTTCCTACAGAAGCGGAAACAGGAGTGGAGAAACTGATGAGGCCAATATGACCAGGATCCTCGCATTAAAAATAGTTCCTGACGGACTGTTCGTAAATGTCAGGGATTTGTACAGAGAATAAATAGGGTACTGTAATATTTGAGTAGTTGCAGCCTTCTACTATGTTTTTTTCTTGGTATGATTCAGCAAAGAGTGGGATTGTAACTATATGACAAGGTTTGAAAACGTTATCGAAAAAGAAAACGCACTTCACGAAAAAGTTGCGTTCAGATGCAAAATATGCGTCCGGTAACCTCGACCTCTTAATTTCGGCAGTTCAAAGAGGCTTCCGAACCCTAAATGCATTTGAAATCGTGAAGAGTTACCATTAAGGGGAAGCAACCCCATGAAACAACTTTTTGGCGGTACCCACTGACCATGACATGCTGCTTCATTTATAACCGGATTTACCTTGTCCTCAATCGTTATTGATATGGTACACTCCCCATGAAACTTTTTTTCTCAACGATTGTGCATCCTCGAGGTCACTGAATTTATCGATACCATTCATTCCTTCTCATAATTTGATGTGAGAGTAACATGATCACAGCGAAGAGAGCGAAACTCGATTATCAGAAGTGGAAGCTGGTCGGTAAAATTTATCGAAAATATTTATTTACAACTCATTCCTAGAATCCCAAGGTATTTGGCACAATGGGATCGGTAGAAGGAGAAGAATGCTGTTGTGAAGGTGGGGCGATGCGTTTTGAGTCGATTGAAAATAAAAGTGCCGCTTCGATAATAATCATGCTGAACTCTGTGGACTTCCACTAACTGTGAAGAATCGACACTTAACTGGAGCTTTGGACTACATACAGGCTCTCGCTATCGCCCTAAAGCACCGGAGACTAAGTTTTGTATTGCTGCCCACTACCACTACTCCTACACCTCCATTCGGGGATTTTTCAGATGCAACTGACTAACGAAACTGTTGCCAAATGATATCTATGGTGCCAGAGATGAAGTAGCCATTGCTTACTCACGTTATTCTACGATTAGATCGGAATAAATGTGAACATTGCTCATTGTCCCTTTACCACGCTATCGTTTTTATATTCTCGAACAGCAGTGATCATTGTAAGTCACCGACTTGTACCATCCTCATGAAATACCTGACGTAATCACTGCTTATCACTGTGGTCAGCTAAATCGCTTCTTACCACATGACATCAATGTCTCCGTCATACCAGTTTTATCTTTTATCTTTTTATTGTCCAGTAAAAAGCAATGAACTTACTTGCTTTTACTGTCAATCGCACCTACCGTCATCTATGCCCCCAACTCATTCCCATGCTAGGTGTAGGAGTAACGATTTCTCCTGAAACAGGAATGCCGCTACGGTTAAAATGACTTCAGTTCTTATGTCTCATATCAGCCTTCATCCAGTTGATATCATTTCCTGTCACCTACATTACTCGTGTCTCACTGAGTTTGATGCATAGACGTCAAAACACTGCTTTAAGAAGGCGAGGGCAAGCGGGGTCTCGGTAGTGTAAGGGATAAGAGCACGGTCCCCGNNNTCCGAGACTGGAGTTTTGCCCACAAATCGCCAACTTTGTGAGACTACTTTCAGTATCAAAAAACAGGAAGCCATTGTCGGTTCTTTTATTTCCTTCAGCAGTACAGCGCCACCTTGTGACGCCATTCTAATTCAACCTCTAGTTTTGCTACTTTTGAAGCCCTAATTTCTCCAATAAGCACCACCTTCGCACTCTTCGGATCACTTGAATTATTCATCTAAAACCAGGTATCGCCTCAAAAGTATCAGAAGAGAACGGTCATGGACACCAACATCACTATTGTTATCGTGAGAATGCGCTCCCACTTCATCTTGCAAACTTGGCTGAAAGGGTCTGTTCGTTCGGTGTGGGTCGTCCTCATCACAATGGTCCCCTTAGTTATTTTAAATGTCACTGAGCTCTCGATATTGACAGCCTTCTAAGAACCGTCTCTTCAGCGCTAGAACACTCTCCAGCGTGCTGGAGATATTCAGCATAGATTTAGTAAATAGTAATGATAATGTAACACGATGGTAAAGCAGCGCTCGTCCGATTGTTGGACTTGCCAGTTCAACCTCTTCAAGTCATACTGAGCGATGAACTTTTTCGTAGTCATACAAAAACGCATTGTTGATCGTCTTGTTCATCTTTTTGAGTCCGAACTAAATTAGTGGTCGATTTTCGTGGTCATTCCAACATTTTTGACTTAACTGTTCACCGAAGAGGGAACAAGCTCGCTGTCGTCGTAGCATGTCCACTATACACACCATAAATAAATAAATGTCTAGTTATAGAAAAAACTCTATATAATTCAATCATTGTTTATGATTCCTGTTTTCTTTTCCAAAGTCAAGCTTTAGCTATGGAAATGGTCTTTTCCAGGCTTGAAAAAATTTATGTGATTTTCTGTTGTTCACATATTTACATGAGCTTATGATCCATCCAGAAAATAAATACAAGCACTTGGTCTCGGTCATGTGAGAAAGAAAGAGCGCACTGCCACAAAAGTGTAAAAACGAGTTTACGTCCCGCGTGCGGCTGGACTTTAATGGCTTTATGAGGGAGATTCGACATCCTTCTGAGACTTTCGCATCGACCTTCTTCTTGGGGAATGCAAGAGTTAACAAAGAGCATTATATCGTAAACAGGAATTGCTAAAACCAAATAGGAAAAAAAGTGAATGTGCCGTTCAGAAAAACCTCAGAGAAAGTGAGCCAAGTATAACTCATCGCTTTGACTATAAACTCATCACTTGGCCATTTCGATGTTGAATGTATTGCAAACTTTCGATGGAGGTTTTGCATAAAGTACTGAGGTGCTGATGAATCTGACACTGTTGAAAATCCCTCCTCCGTGGACAACACCTTCTCCTTCGTCAAGCATCGTTCATCGTTTATGCAAATTCGCATTGTCCGTCGAATGTCTTCCCTAATGGATAGTTTATGAGGCTTCCCGGTAGATTATTCAAATAGCCCCAGTTCCACACAGTTTACCAGTTAACGTCGATCATTTTGAAAATTCTTTCAGCCCATTTCACTCACAGAATTTCAGTTCCGTAAAAGAGCAAGCACAAATTTTGTTTTAGTTCTACATCTTCTCAGTTCTGTTTACAGTAGCCGACACAAGTAACTTTCTGGCAATAACTATGTTACCCATATCTCGAAAAATCTAATTTTTTTCACTCCTAAGCCCTAAATTTTTGCCATTTTTCAAGGCAGCTCTTATAAGGACCGACATACCTGAACGTCACAGCTGTACTACCGTGCAGTGTTCCTCCTACTGTCCCTAAAACGTCTAAACATCTGGCCCATCTCTGAAGAGCTACCTTTTGCTGTTGTCTCGATGATGCAATAAGCATAGAGTGATTAACCCAAGCTCGCATTCTAATTATGTATCTGTCACTTGAATATGTGCTACAAGGAATTGCGCAAAACCTTTTTCCTCACGCCTCTCTGATGAGCACTCGAGCATCTGTGCCATCGGTGTGGTTTAGGATAAAAGGAAGTGAAGTAAATAGTCGTCTATGATCGGACGATTATGAAATTGCCATAAATTTGAGTTTCGTTCAAGTCTTAGGAGTTTATACTTCAGGTCGGTTCATTGATTTCCATCTGCGGAGACGGTAAGATAATTGGGCACTGTGACAGTATTCGGCGAATGTGATGTGCGCCCTAGGACTAGGACGCCAAGATTCGATTTTTCTGGCAACCATGCTATTTTTTGGTAATTAGTGCTCAACAAACAACGCAGAACTAAACGCTCATTGCCTTCCTAGGCTTACAGACTATAAACTCAATCCCTATACTTGTCACAGAGCTCATCACATGGTGAGCCAAAAATCTCGGGTAGGTATACTGTAGGAATAGAATGAGGAAGGATCTGTGGGATTCTGTTCGCGTAATGGCAAAGCCGTGCCTTAGTAGCAAAGATTTTCCTTCGTTTACTTTCTGGAGGGAATTCTGCCTTGACGTGTTTCCGGTGCTGCTCTTGCTTTTATACAGACTTTGTTTACGATTCAGAGTACGTAAGTGAATAAACAGCCTTCAAAAGACTGTGGTTTGATGACAAGCTATGTGCGGTTATCCTCAAAAAAGGTTTGCGCATCAGGGTCACCTAGGTTGACCGCTGTTCAATGTGCTTTTCTACAGTCTTCTCCCTAAGTCGGATCATCCGATAATTGTTTTGTCCGCCATATGTGAACCGGTGGAAGCAACACACAAGCAATATTATCTGAAGCTCACAAATACAAAGCTTGATAAAACTTTCTGATTTTCCAAGCATAAATATTGTGCGGGTTCGCAGTGACCATGGATTATCTGAATCGGCTTCTCTTTTCTCTAGCAAATACTTCATTTATCTAGATATCGCCAGGCACCAAGGATGATCAGGGGGAAGGAATAATGATGTCTTGGTACAAAGGTGTTTTAGAAAACCTCAGCCGAGATGATATAACTCTTTATTAGGCCAACGTTCCGGCGTTATCGCCTTCGTCAGGACCTGGAAGCCGGAAAATATTTTAGATTCATCCATAACGAACACCATCTCAGACTTCAGCTTAGTACAAGTATAACCAACGGATATCTAAGAGGGTCTCGTAAGTCACAACTGTTAACGACTTACGAGAACCTTTTAGATATCTGTAGTTCACAGGATTCATAACGGTTCTCGGGCCCAATGGCGAGCTTCGGTAAAAGTGAAATCTAACTGCATGTCTTGGGATGCTCATGCTCACCGGTTCAAACTTTGAACAATGACTTATGTAGCTTTTCTTGCATTGATCTGAACTTACCCGAACAGTTGTTAGGTGGAAGTGGCCCGGTGTCCACAGAACACCTACAATGGTAGAACCCAGCCCATGACGATGGTTGATCAAGAGTTCATTCGCCGTATTACACCGACCCACGGATCTTCTCCGAAACCACTATTTTACTGAGGGCCTCCAGACGGTTGGTGGCGAGGCTGTATCTGGTCACCAGTACTTGATTAGCTTCTGCTGTGTTGGGTCGATTCACACATTTTACTTGAAGGTACCTATGAGCCAAAAACGGTAAGGCATGGCCTACTTCCCTTAAACTTGAAGGATCCCCGGTACGTCGGTTTGGCAGGTCCGCCTGATAAAGTAAAAAGAATAAAGTTTTTGGCGTTCATCAATCCCGTCTGAGGGATGCGCCCCCGCACCCGACTTCCATTCATAATCGTAGTGGCGTAATGAGTGTGTATGTGGCCTATACAGTGATTGCGGTGGCCAGTCGATGTACAAGTCAGTGCTTTTTTCCTCGCAGACGAGTCTGGTACCAATTAACCGACCACGGAGGGATGAAGGGCTTGGTTGGCTTAGGCGGGCATCTATCCGGGATTCGAACCTCTGACCGTGCGTGTGATATAGTGGGCTACTTGCCACTACACCACCTCCGCCCTAACCGCTGTCAAAATATCAGGGACGTCAGAGCCGCTAAAAGTGGAAACACAAGGGTAGCGATCTATACTTCAAAGCAAGAACGTCCGCATCATAAGCGTGTATTGAAGATTTGATGATGGAAGCTAAAAAGATCAAGTACGACGTCATCGTATTAGCCGAGAAGAACAGGCATTGCCCACTGCACTCGAGAATGGAGAAGAACTGTTCCTTAGGACATGTGACGGCAGAGGCGTCGGTAGGTGTCCCTAATACGCACTTGGCCATGGCTATCGGTTTGTACGAAAGCTTACAACCCGAATCGGACGTTTGCGATGGAGAAGGTGTGCCTCAACGCCAGCTTGAACAACTTCAAGGTCATCGTCGTTGATCTAGACGCCAAGCTTGGCTTTACAAAAATGGCTGAAAGCTACAGATCGGGTCGCATGAAGCGGAATGGAATGGATAGGGTGAAAGACTGGCCAAAAATTTATCATGGCGACTCACACCGTCAATGGTATTTCGTAATTCTACAAGCCCTCTCACTTATGATTAACTTGAGGGTAAATAGTTCCATAATAAAATAGGCCATGTCGTCTTCAATAGAGTCGTTTCGTCTGAGTGTCGTTCCAAGATTTCAAAAAGGATCAGACTGTCGTCGCCTCCGTGCGGATCTCGGTTCTTCGAAGCAGGGAGAGAGCCGTAAATTTCACGATTTGAAGACTCAAAATCATCAGCTATGATTAGGATCACTTCCTAACTTCCTAACTTCCTTGTGAGTTTATTGAAAGATTCTATTAGTAACAACATCGATAAAACCTGCAAACGGCTGGTCGAACATCTTCACGATAGTCCTAGGAAAATAGAGAGTCAATCAGTAGCCAAAGGGCGTATCTCTCCAATGATTTTTGAACTTTACGCCAGCGTGGAATCGTGTGAGCTGCCGGTAATTATCAACTAACGTTCAAACATGCAAAGCTATGAAAAGAAGCGATAAAGAGAGTATAGAAGAGAAAAGAGGGGCAGTCATGGTAGAAGCCGACAAAAGAAGGAAGTCCTTCACCGGCTTTACCAATTGCAAGGTGAATATGATTTCCCTTTGACATCTTCGTCTTGAAAGACGGGCCAGTTGCTGCATCTTGAAGGGCTTGCCTACGACATTTTCTGCGATCTCTTCGACAGCCACATCTAACTGCTNACCTGCAATGTTAGGCAGTATGGGTGGATATGTCGTTCTCTCATTGTCAGTGTTACCTATCTCAATTTGGCATGCCAACACGAGGAATCGTGCAGCGCCCTGCTCCGATACGATTAGATAAGAACATCTGAAGAGTCTTCTACTAGGTGTCTTCAGATTCCTGGCTTACTTTTTCACGCGGTATATTTTGGAATGCAAGGTCCATAAAAAATTTCTGAGCTCCAGATCCCCTCTGCAATGATTCGAAAATTAGGTGGGCGAGGATAAGACGCCAAATGCACATGAATACGTATTGGTATAGAGGAAGCCGTTGATCAAAGGGGCGCGATGTTATGCAGGCTGTGGACTCGACACTTGCGAGTTCTGACCAAAATAGGAGTAAAGTCCATGGGCATCGCGAGCTGATGAAAACTAGCAGCATTAGAGCAGTCAAACCTAGCGACGGCAGGCAGGGCACGACGATTACTTATAACATTTGTCCGATGAATACATAACTTATCACCATAACTTGGAGGAGGATGTTTACTACCGCAACTTCTACAGTGGCAGTGGATTCTTTCATTCAAAGTCGTCTAACATCACTCGCACTCTCACATTCACATCACGATTATTATTACTATTATGCAAATCTCAATAAGTGGAGTGAGAACGAGACGAGCCTATGTCCCCAGATGACCTACAGTAATCTATGGCTACAGTAATGCGTAATAGGTAGTAGCTTGTCTGAAAGCTTCCCATTTCTAGAAGTGTTTGACCGGATCTATATTATATAAATATAGAGCCGGTTCGGCAACGAAAGAAACATTAACGAAGTAAATCTCGCAAAACTTCTCCTTGAAATCGTTGACTGATATGTACTTTATTTGGAATTGTTTTTGTTTTCATTTTCTTTATTCGAAGACAATCGAAAGGTATGAAGGTTTGCTTGTCTATTTAAAACGAGTGATAAGTACCAAGCTCACTCTGTCTACCTAAATCGCCAAATGATCCACGCAGAATTGTATGTGCCTGAGCATCGCTGCAAGGAAACAGCTCAGCTGGTACTGACATTTTCGTCGGAATTGAGGGGATTGTGGTCTCAGCTACGTGCAATTACCTAGGGTTATTGTATGCACACCAAGGTTCCCGAAATCGAGGGAGACCTTGCGGTCGCTGCAAGGAAAGAAGCTTAAGCTTCAGATTCCCCTCTGCAATGATTCCCCGATATACTAAAATCGAGACGTTTTTCCAGAGAGCAGCCGTAAAGTTATCGAAAAGCCAAAAACCATACCGTCTGCTACACGGATCCATGTCATGGCTATTTTGGCTTATCAAACAAGCATTAACGCAAATTGGTCTCAATCTCACGAATGAATGCATTAGCATCTCTGGAATCCGTTTCCAATTAAGGAGAACCTGCTGAAGCCTAACAGTCACGTGAAGTCACGCAATAGCGCTCTCATTTGATCATCTTTCCATTGCAATACAGATGATGATACGGCTTATCGTGTAACGGAATTGCTCACTTCAGAAGAGTGATAAACGGTCAAGTCGTTTTGAAAAGCAGCTTTGACTGTGTTCTCACCTAACCATGCACTCATTATTTTAGGGAGCTAATGAAGCGCGAAGAAAGTGGCCCTGTACCTGTTTTCGACCAACACAGAAGAAATTCGTAGAAAATCTCATGCAGAGTTCCCGGGCATTGCGTGACTTTTGATGGGAGATTCGCTGAAAGGTCTTGACATATTTCCTCCTCAAAGGACAAAAAACAAAGGTTTTCAAAAACGAAGGCGCAAAAATCGTACAGTAAGTATAAGGTGATTAGGGCTAAGGCGTGAATGAGCTCACTCATTAAAGGCACAGTTCACGATAATTTTGGGTAATCCAGATTATGATGGAAAATGGAAGACAAGATCGAAACTAGTGCGACTGAGTTGAAGAAACTGCGTGCATCGGTGTTTCCAAAGTGAAAAAAAGGCTTCCCGAAACCGTCAAAAAGGGGGCTAGACGAGAATGAAACAAGAAAAGTGAAGAAGGGTAGGGGCGTAGTATCTTTCACCTTTTTGAGGGTTTTAATTTTTGGAACCGTTTCACAACAAGTTGGTAGGCATTCTGTTGTCCTGGAATTCGTAATGACCTAGCCGCACGTTCATGAACTCCAAGGCACTCATTCGAAAAATTCAAGCGCGACAAAGAATTACCTTTATATACGTAGCACCTTCTGTAGGTATGAACACTTGCTAAAGTGAATTCTGAGTATTTTCGAGCGATTTCTCCATGAAATTTTGAAGGGTAAAGCTAATGTTAAGAGCACTTTGTTACTGAAGTAGTTTGAGACCCTTACTGGTGAACTTTCAACTTTTATCTTTTCTTCCCTTACTCGCATGTCTTCACTCTTCGTAGAATTCCCGAATTTCGTCACTTTAAGAGCAGAATTCAAAGTTTACGATTCAGTTATGTTGAAGTAGCCAAGTTTGTTTCTGAATAGACTTTGAAATCAGGTACATAGTAGCCCATGACAACTCAGGTGAGTCCCATAGGTCTATTCAGTACCGCCATCAACCGAATGTGTATGCCACAGCCATAATTAGAATGAAAGAAGTTTGATTCCACAGTCAACATAGGGATTATGCAGCTCCATAAAACCTTATCAAACCTTCCTTACTCCTATCAGCATCTGATGCTTGAAGATACCTTGCAAAGTAAAGAAACAGGATCAAAAAGACCGCCACTGCCTTTTCAAATAAAGTTGTCTGCGAGGAACTCCAACTGAAGAACTTTTACAACTTTCAAACATCATGCCGCTATGTGTACTCCCTTATATGAATATGTATCAATGAGATAGTCCAGGGGTCTCCTCACATTTTGGTCCAAGATGTCCTTTATCCTTCTAAAATTGTACGTTTGACTAAGTATTTCTGAATTTCAATGACAAATCCTAGCTGCTAAGCGCCTTCTTGTTTACGTGTATGCTATATTTAAGAAATTTTTCATCATTCCTCGGCCATGCTTTCCAATTATACCGTATTACTGTTCATTCCAAGTTTCCAGTAAGAATCGGACATTTAGCAGCTGCCGTAGGGGGCCAAAACTCGGTCGATTTCAAATACTGGACCATATAGCCATCAGAACATGGCATGATATGCTTCACTTTTGAATCTTCAGAAGAATGAGGACTAATAACGAATGTTCTCATTTCTTTTCCTTGCCACTGGTATTGAGATCTTATCTGAGGGGAATAGCTCACTGTGCATGCCACAGGCTGTTAACAGCGTAGGTGGTGGCGAGAGGTTTACTGAGACTTGCATACTGTAGATTTACGATGTTTCTACGATCCTAACGGCAAGAGTTTTCTTGTCCATCAAATCGATTTAGATTCCAACTGCCGGTAGTCTCATCAGTAGTTTCTCGATCAGTGCGCTAGTTCTCAACAGTCACACTACACTCGTTTCGAGTGTTATACAAAGCCTTTGAAGGGCGCCGATTGTCTCAATAATACCCATGGGAGGCTAGGGCAACTCTCGGTTATGCGACAGGTGATAATCGTCGTTGAAACATTAGCTCATCAGGAGCTTGAGCACTTTCGTGTAGTTGCCGGTATCACTTCTGGTTTGCTAAGAGACTCATGTTTTTCCATATTAATATCTAACTGGGTGGGCTTGAATAAACGAACACACGGCTGACCCATCGCGCATCTGCTTCTTCGAACAACTGTAATTTGAGAAGGAAACCACATGCTATCAGGTTTCATTACCCAATTCGTCTTCGCAGTGAAACTCCTTAGACTCATCATCTTTCTTTGGAGCAATACTGACCTTTGTTTGAAAAAATCGGAAATGTGAGAGGATGACCTTGAACACGCATCAAAAAATGATTCAGCATGAAATAGTGGCAACAGAAGATGGCTTAATGACGGCTTTTATGATATGTTATATGAAGATGTCGCCTTCCCAAGCCGTTTTTTGTTAGATACTCACAATGGGTCAGTTCAAAAGGCCCAGCATTAGTTTATAGTCAGATTATTGCATAGACTTTAGTCAAGATTCAATTCAATTCAATGAAGAGTCAATGCTTCCTGGTAGATTCAACCCCTCTCTCTCGAACCTCTGTCAATCGTTTCCGGCCGATTGTTGCAGGTTCGTTGAGAGCGGGTATTCAAGGGCATCGAGGGTTGGCCACGCCCAATTAGAGTTCACAGACGCAAAACCGCATAGTCCACGACTCCGCCTTCGCCCTGTCTGAGCTGTACGGTTGAGCTGACTAGATCTGATGATGACCTGATCCCTGCTTTTGGGCGTCAACCATTCTCGTTCCATTTCTCGATTCAAAGCGTGGTGATTTGATTGATAGTGATCACGCAGCTGGTTCGCAAACGGTGTCACTCAGGACACGTAACTGGTTAGTTCCATAGCAAACACTTCGGGCTACACACTTTTCGTTTCCCATTCGCTTCATAGGTTTGACGAGAAAGACGACTTAAAAACGCCTTCACTTTCAATTTTGTATGTGGCTTTCCATCTCTTCGTAATGCTACTTTACTCTTCAAATCTGCTTGCATTACCAATCCACTCAGCTTCCAGCTATGTCTCAATTTCTGCTCATTGCACTGTTCTGAGCCCTCGTTTTCGTATCTGATCGTCAGTTTCGTGAGATCGTGCCATGCGATTCCCCATCAACACTGTCTCAAACTTATCTACACTTATCTCTAAGCGGCAACAGCTTTTGTACNCTGCCATATGGTGTGCTTCAGTTATTTTATACGACGCCATGATTCTTTGCAGATTATTTTATGCGCGATTGAAAATTATAGCGTCTTCAGATGAATGAGTGTTCAAATGGACGACTGGTGTCGTTCCTGATTGAAGGAGACGACGTAGTTTCGTGTGAAGTGTGCCTGGAGCCTTTCCAACCGCTCACCAGACCGCCCAAGATTCTCCCTTGTGGTCACAACTTTTGCGATCAGTGTCTCTTCAGTCTCTGTTGCCATCAGCAGGTTTGTGTGCTGCCCTTCTACTCATATTATTTCTTGTGAATTACTTTTAAGTTTTCAGTACTATTTGCTCGATTCAATCAAATGTCCCACATGCCGCACTTCCTTCCCTACTAATGTAGCTATCGAAGCTCCCACCAACTGGGATCTCTGTAGTAAGTATCAGATACTTCACTCTATGTGTCATCTTCAAAAGGGTGAATGTTAGCGCGTGTTTACAGAGATTCTCGAGAATGTGCAAAAAGGAAGAGAAATGAATGTGACAGTAATCCATGTGCCGGATATGCCGCCTCGAGTACTGCCAGAGACCTCTCCACCTTCTACGAAAAGAAAAGGAATCCTCAATAGGACGATGTCAAAGACACAAAAGTGCGTTTCAATTTTTATACCTCTCGAAATTTCGTTTATAAAATATTTCTAGAGCCAAATGTGGAGACTGTTCTCGCAAACTATCGCCAAAGATCATTGGAAAAGCGGCGAGATTCTGCCAGGAGTGCAATCAAAACGAGAATGTTGTGAGTCATTCTCGCCCCCTTTTCATTAAATTCTCATGGTTTTTCCATTTTTATAGACCTTCACCTGTCTCGAGTGCTGCGTGAATATGCACAACGGTCACACTCTTCTTTCAATGTCGCAACTCCAAGCTGAACAGCTTAAAGTATGTTTTTCTCAGACAGTTCCCGTCAAAGTAAACTCTGACTGTTCTCCCTGTCTTTCACCAGTCAATCGATTACAACAGGTACTGGGAGAGTTACGAGAGCTACGTAGGAGACTTGTCGATGCCCTTTCATCTACCCATCCAGTCCCTAAGGGATGGTCCGGTGAGGATGTCAAGGATCTTCTTTTCTCAACGTCCAGAGAAACTTTACAAGCTGACGATGAAACACTTACCAAACTTGATAGTGCCATTCAAATGGTCGAATCGTCCACTGTGATCTGTCCCAAGAAATTGAGGTATGCAACAGTGGCTATGGAGGGAAGGAAGGGAACAGCTGAAATGAATATACGTTTCCAGTGAACTTCGCAACGAACAAATTCATCAGTGCTCGAGGCTTCTTACAAGAAAGCCACTACACCAAGAGGCATTGGGAGATGTTCAGGAGAAATCTAACGGTGAGTAGGACAATCTGATTTATATAAAACAATTTTCACTGCTGGATTTTACTGTTGGGTCAGCGTACGATGTTACTGTCCTCTCCCTTTCCCTCTATGTTTCTTACTTGGATTTCCATCTTATTGACACAAAATGGTACTTCAATGCTAGAGCTCCTATTTAGTTTGAAGACTGATGTTTGAAACAGAGGTGTACTAGTATACGAATCATTTCAGTGCCATCCTGCTCCCTGCGAGCTCGCTCGTTTCCTCGCTCGTCAAGTTCCCACTGCTCCAGTTGCTTAGACCTGCTCATTCCACTTCTTCCTTGTACGCTGCTCAGTGAAGAGCTCTCGACTCTTACTCAGGACATCTCATCAAATCAACCTGTTGAGATACGATGCAAAGCTTTCATCAGAGCTGCCACTATACTCACCAATATACTTTATGAGTAAGCTTGGACACCTTTTTTTGGATTCTTCTCTGTAAATAACTCACATGCTTTTGATCGTTTTGAGAGACCTGCCCTCCTTTTCAGTGATGTTCCCATTGACCAGCTCTTCCTTATCGCGGACGCTCTTCTACAATGTTTCTGCCAAGCGAATTCTCTTTCGAGGAAGAAGCCGCAGTTGGCGAATTCAACTCCTGTTTCCAGGAAAGCAATATGGAAATCCATTCAGTTGGCTTACACGGAACTCATGAGGCATGCAGCAAAGGCAAGCTGTTTCAGCGTTTCACCGAGCAAAGGAATCTTTAATAAAAAATGGGACTTTCAGAATTTTCTGTCGTACGAACCGGAACGAATCGCTATTTTGGACGATCTGGCTTATCTCTGTAACATTTACGCAGACGTCTGTGATCAGGTAATTCAGCATTTCCTCAGTTTCTTTACCATCCTCATCCCGATCACGATCAATTCTGAATCTGTATGTGGCAGTCGATCTTCCACATATCCTGCCTATGCGCAGAGAGCTTCCAGCTTCTATATTTAAAACGCTCAACGTCTTGTTCCTTTAGGCCACTGTCACCATTTGTATGATCGAAGCAGCAAGAGGCAGAATCTCCGAAGAAAAGCTTCCTGAACCAGAGCGGAAGAAGGTCGCTCAGCGTCTCAAGGTGAAACCGAATCTAAGTTTTCCTTGTAGCCCATTTTTTTCAACAGAAAGATGTATCAAATAACCAGTTGAAATAGCATCCCATTCACGTGAACTACACCTCTCTGAACTACTTCTGAACCACTGACTTTTAGGAGATCGATGATCACCTCCTCGAATGTCGACGGCTACAGAAGCTCCAAGACCTTCGAACAACAAAAACTAAGAAGCCTAAGAAGCTGAAATGGCTTTGGAGGTTTCTTTTTCGACGTTCAATGAAACATGCATGAAAAAAAAGGTGCGGTCATGGGATGCTCAGTCTGCCGGTATAGTATTTACTCGTCATTCCGATTGTAAATTATTCAAGATGTATTTTTATAGATTAATGTATAAATATTGAATTCTTCGTGAAAGAGTGTTATGAACCGATGGAATTTTTTTTTTGAATGATAATGACATACGAGAGAAAGAGCGATTTCAAACGGGCGCGATTGATCACCCGACTGTCAGCATGGCGATGATGAGCAGATGCTATCAGTGGCACAATGCCTGGCACACCTTGGAGACCTCGAGAATGCCCTTCCCATCCCGCGCGCGCTCCTTCCCGAAGTCTCGTCCTCTGTGTGGGTCACAGACTGTTCGGTCATGGTTCTCATCGTTATTGCCAAATATTGCACTGGATTAACTTCGCTGATCCCTTTCCAGCGCCGCTCTTACTCTTTGCATCAGCGAATTGCGCCAAAATGGCGCAACCCAACTCTGCCACCAACACAAACAGAAAAATTCCTAAGTCAGCCTCGCTCTATTTATTTGGGGCAAAACTTCCGCACTCACAGAGAAGGCGTACAGCAACGCTCTTACAGCAGCAGGATAGAGTATGAAGGAGGAAGTGGTTTTAACCTTGTTTCAACTCTTTCAATCAGTGTTCCTAAGTCTGAAAAACAACAACAAAATTTCCTCAAGGGCAAAAAATGAGCTCCTACAAAAAAAAAAGTTGGAATTGTTTTAGGTTCGTATTTCCTTATTGGCATCACCCACGGGAGCCACGTTCAAAGGGCAGGGTATAAGGAAAGGTAGAAATTGCGATATGATCGCTTCGAAACCAAAACGATTGCGTCATTTATCAACCAGTCGATGAAAACCAATCAATGGTTATCGCTAGTAGGAAAGAATACCCCGATCATCAACCAACTAGAGGCTCTACAAGCAGAAGGTTGTAAATCAGACCCCAGCCCGGTCTCCTTAGATAGATCTTAGCGTTTTATTCTTACGCTCAAGTTTTGCTGAATAGAAGTGCGATTTCAGAGGTTCTTCATGGTGGCCAATTTTCAATCGGAAGTCCGATTCTCCAGAGACCATGCGAGAATTTTGATTGCTAATTTCCAAAAATTTCGTGAAACAGCCCAACACCTACATCTCGTAAAGATCTTAGAGGAGATAATGCTGAACAAATAGCTGAAGCTGCACAGGGCTATCCCTGCAGCAAAGTAGTAAATGTTAACTAAGTTGCTGCAAAGAGACGGATTCATATTAAGGGGAAAGCTCTCATGCTCTGTTCGTTTGCACCCGATCGGTACTAAAAAAACAAGCGATCAGTGTCTCTTACGTCTCTCTTGCTGTTCCCTCGGCAATTAACGATGGTGATATATTATTGCGCCTTTCAAGAGTTTTAGGTGGAATACTCAATGGTTTTAGTAGCCTAAAGGTTCCCAGTGATAGTCTTCTTCAGACTCCAAAATTCCATTACTTGGGAAGGCAAAATCGAAATTTATTTGGAGGCAATAGCCACCAGTGTACTAATCGCTAGCCAAGGCAACAACTAAACGTCGCCTCTGGCTTATAACACGCAATAGATTTTGTTCACCCAAACGGAGCTGGCTTCTGGAGAAGGTGATAACGTAGGAACGTTAGTCTTTTGAACTTAACAAATATAACTCAGCTATTCTCTCTGAAGCCACGGCCAAGATGATACAATATTTATTCGACTAACGTTTCGGCCAGTCGCCTTCGTCAGAGCCTGGTAGCTGACTGAACATTTTATCATCTTGGCCGTGGCTCAAGAGAGAACGACTAAGTCGTCATCCACATATGCTAAGATTGAGTGATAGTTGAACATGGTTGCTTTTAACAAAAATAGATCCTACTGAAAATCTTACAAAACTCAAAGACTTCACGAGTTAGTTGCCGTCGATAATGCGTGCGTAAATATGGCTCCTGGCACGTATTCGGTAATGTATGGTGAATGCTATGATTGTACTGGTACAATGCCTCACTCTAGTTATCATAAGAAGATCAGCTGCGTGGATCCGCGAGCATAACTGCGTAAAAGCTCAAACACTCCGTTAAAGAAACAGAGATCAGCAAAAGAACAATAGGCTGCAAATTCCTCAACTTTCGACCCTGGGCGGACTTTTTTTGGTTCAGGCAGTTTATTCGGTGATCCTGCCTCGAGCTACTTCGGTCATACAGATGGCTATAAAGCGACGTGCGAAAAGCATGTGCAATTNTTGAAATGACTTAAAGGGAACGAGAAAAGTATACTGAACATTTATGAAAAGTTCAATTTTCTTCGAATGAAGATGGTGAAAAGTGAATTTTATCGCAGTGCTATCAATCCATATAGAGGTGTTGACCAAAATAGGAAAATTGATGGTAATAGCTGATTTCTTTATCCTTCGAAGCGTTTGTGTATGGCGATAAATGAAGATACATAGGTTGTCGGCCAGTCAGCCAGAGCTCCTCCTCGATTGTATCCATGCCCCATGAATGCATGGTTAGCCACAAGAAAGGATTACCATCGTTTTTCTGTTTCTCACATCTTGATATTTTTGATCTTTGCCTTAGGTAACAGAGTGAGATGAGTGGAATACTCAGCTGGAAAAGACAGTGGTTCTCTTTTTCTGCCGCAATCAATTACGTTCTGGAAGTTCTCTTTATTCAGAAAAGTTCACTCAAGTTACCTCTTGACCTTAATTTGTTAACATTGCCATTAATGCGCCATTAACATCTTCCCATTTCGGCCATAATCACTTGTTCAGTTCTCCTTCTTAGAATTAACCTAATTTAAGTTCAAACTACAAACAGCATTGGAAGAAAATTGTTCTGACTAATTGGATATAACAGACTAACACAACGGCTAATGTCAACTCCCCTGAAATATTTTCTAAAGCGCTAAGCACTGATTTAACACGCACATAGATTCGCGTTGGTTCCTATGTAGTGAAGAAGCAGGGAAGAAGTGGCAGAAATAAGTGACAAAGGTCCCATATCTGCTTGTAATTGCCCATGAGAGGTCTAATGATGATGAACCATATTTCAGTTTTGTACTTCTTAATTGGCCTTTCGCACATTGTTAGTTGCAACCTTAACCGAAGTATGTAATACATATATACGCCTGTCGCGCCTTCCCGGGTGGGCTTCTTTTTCTTCCAAACTCCACCCTGACCTTCAGACTTCACCACCACGACTTTCATTCAATCATCTAATTAGAAATGTTGATATAGGAACGACTGAAATTTACTAAAAATGAGAGCAAGAGTTCTAAATTCACAAGGGATCAGCAGGGAATTTCACACCCTGTAATGAATCCATTCGATTCCTTAGTCATGCCGGCGCCATATGATTCATTTCTTTGGAACGGCTAACTTCGCTGCTGAACAACGTTGGAGCTTTTACGTGAAGCCCCGTTCTAGCGGTTCTGAGCGAGACTCTTTCAGAGATCTCAGTAGCCTGAAATAAAGTCGAAGATGGACCTCGATCTAGTCAACCGTTTACGACATCACGGGACTTTTTGCCGTGTTATGGTTCAAGTTAGCGACTTTCATCGTATAATATTTCTACTGAAGCTTCTAGAACTTTTAGAGAAGAATTTGGACTAATGCGAAGGCTTCGACGTTTACTTTCCGACAACCTAATGTGAATAAGACATCTGCTCAGCTGAGTAACGAAAAACGTTGATCGCATTGGCTCCTTCCAGCGGATCAGCACCAAAAAGGCGATTCAAAGTGCGGGTCATACTACAAGATAACATCTTAGAACAACAACGTTGTCGATGGCGCAATCGTAGTCATGGCGGCTTGCCGTCTTATCCGATTACTTCATCTGATATCGCTGGACATCGTTCATTCCCTTCTGACAGCTCACACACGACCGCCATAAATGAGTATATCTGAATGTACCATCGCTTCACAGCACCGCATTACTTGGAGAGCCCACAGCAATGAGCCGAACCACCTGCTGGCAATCTCGCAGAAGGATCACCTTCAACGTGGTACTCTCTGATACTGAAGTAAACCACAAAATAATGATCAGTACAGCTTCATGACATAAATGTTGAAGTTTTCAAAAAGATTAGACGCATTCTGGTGACACAGCCCATGTGATAACGGAAGGTCGTGAGTGGAATCACGCTGAGGTAGTAACCACTGCTGAGCATTCGTTAACGGTCAGTGTACTCTGCACTGCTTGACGCTGTCGGAACTCCTTCATTGTTTGTTTGTGAATGCATTGTTCAAGCACCTTCGCAGAGTAAACTGTGTTTACTAGGGCAATTACAAGGTGAAGAGGAATCAAGAGCATAGATAAAACCTAAGCCGCGTAAAAATACCTACGTTGCATCCAAATGAATAAAGTAGCGCAAAATTCTTACCAAGCGATCACTACAGGGATGTTGAGTATGTCACTCTCACTTAGTCCAGCACCAAATAATGAAAATCTTAGAACTTTTGTGACATTGCAGCAATCTTCCAAAAGAGGACTGCTAATCGTGTTTACAGTAGTCCTCGTTGCGGAACTTGGATTTTCTTCAATCAGCTTTCCTTTGTTAACGATCAGAGCAGGCAAACATCTTGTTGTATTTAGATGACTCAGCGACAAAGCTGATCTGACAGTACGCTTCTTATAAATGCAATGACTGCTCTATTTGTTCTTTGGACTTATGGGATTGTGAACTTTTTTTACAGGTGATTTTATACACCCAATGTATTCGTTGAGTTGTCCTCAAATAGATGCCGAAGTCCTAGGGAATCGTATGCCGCAATGATATGTGGTGATGAGGCAATTCACTTGAGTTAATTTGAAATTAGAGTGAGTTTCAGGTGACCAGAACTTATACTCCTGATAACGGCACCCTATTGCATGACAGCTTAGATAGGAGGAGAGATCGCTGGAATCACCATAAATAACTTTTATGACAGTGAATAGTGAGTAAATGTAGATAGCGATTGCTGAATTTTCGAATATGTCTCTAGGTAATATTTCTATTCAACCTAGCAAACGTCATGAAGTTTGT